AAACAGAGTGATGTGGTGTATGCAATTAAGTGCAGTCAGGAGTGCAACGACTTGTACATTGGTGAAACGAAGCAGCCGCTTCACAAACGCATGGCTCAACACAGGAGGGCCAACTCCAGTGGACCAGAGTCAGCAGTCCACCTCCACCAGAAGGAGAAAGGACACTCTTTTGAGGACAGTGAAGTCCAGATCCTCGCCAGAGAACATCGCTGGTTTGAGAGAGGTGTTAAGGAAGCTATTTTCGTAAAAATAGAACACCCCTCACTAAATAGGGGTGGTGGACTAAGACATAACTTGTCTTCCATCTACAACTCGGTTTTGAGATCTCTGCCCAAACATGCCCACCAGGACAATAGGCGTCGGCTGACAGGGGAGGATCCAAAGACAGGTAACGACCCTCACTGATACTGGGCTGGGCTGTAACGACTCAGTCGTTAATGGACATTGTTGGCCTTCTAAGGACTGAAACCACACCGAGGGGGATAAATATCTCCGACTCAACACCAGTCAGTCAGAACTGATGAAGCCTCTTGGATGAGAGGTGAAACGTCTTCAATCTAGAATTCCAAGTCCAGTTGATTTCCAAGGTTATTTCGGTTGCGGCTAAATTGGAGTGTATCTACATGGTATTAATGATTACATTAATGATGACACCAATATGAGCACATTGTGAGGAGTTGAGGTGAGCTGCTTCATTCATGTTTCCTGCTCGTGAGTTTCCATTGTTTTTTGGTTAGCCATGCTGCTAATGTAGCCTACTCTACCTTAGCACCAATTCTACCACCAGCATGGCTGCATTGATAGATAAAAACAGTTTAACATCCAGTACTAACAAAAAATCATGGCGTGTTGTTATGGTGCATTAACTGTGGCCCAAATTTGACAGTGAATCACAGTGAATGCTCATACTTATTCTCCTGGGCCAACACATTCTGCTGATTGGTCAACACAGCACCTTTGCCAAATGATGCCACCATCGGACGCGGTGAAAACTGAACTAGATCCAACGTTTTCACTGCACAGGGCTGCACCCTCTGTTATACTGGTGGTGGGTGTGGTGAATGAAATCTCCCATAGAAAAGAATGGAGACATCTGCATTTTGTCACACTTTTCAAACTCAATCTGAATATGACCTTACTGCTGAAGCGACCCTGCCACAAACACACTGTGGTGAAATAGTATAGCACTTTGAGGTGCCAGAACAGAACAAGCATTGGTACCAAATTGCGGTATACTTTCCAGAGAGCATAACACATCAAGTCACAGTAAATAAAATGTGTGACAGTCCAAAATACTTTCCTACCACTGATGTGTGTGTTACCTTGAGGAGAGGCAGCACCTCCGTTCTGTTTGAGACTGAAGGGGGAAGGTGGTTCAGCTGCAGTCAGAGGGCTATTCTCACTGGTCAGCTCCACGCCGCTGTCATTCTCTGACAGGCCCTCACCTGGAGGTGTGTCTCCATTCACTGCAGCCTGAGAATAGAAGCAAAATAATGTCAGGAAAGTGTCCCGTACATTTTAGCCTGATCTGACCAGATGAACAAACAGGCCTTTTATTGTTATAAAGCTGCACCAATTATCATTATGTTGGGGAAGCTACTTAGCTTTGCAAGCTACCAATTATTTCACACTGGAAGAAGTTGAACTAAGCAAAGTTGTCAGCAAACTTGCTATGTACATTTGATACAAAAGTAAAACTAAATATAAAGTAATACAAAAGCCACATACTAGCAAAAAATGCCACACAATTAAGCTTATTATCTGACACTTAAATCTGTCCTAATTAAAACTGTTGCTGGGAATGTTATATTATTGTTGTAAACAAATATGGATTTTATATTATCTGACTACAGCCAAAAGATATTGAGAAAAATAGTTAACTTGCACCTTTTTAGATCATTTGACTAACTTGCTCACTGATCTAAAAACAGGACTATTGTCTCACTTGTCAGTTTTGTAACATCTTACTTTGACAAGCTTAACAACTACTCAGAGCAGAATCTCTTGTTTATACAACACATGAGCAGCCTCTCAAAGTTTTTATCCAAAACTGGCACCGAAGAAGTCCTTTTCACCTGCTGCATGGTAAAAAAAATTAATAAAAAATTTAAGTCCTTTGCTTTTATGGCCCAAAGCTGTTTGGGGTTTCAGTAGTTAACTACACAAAAATGGCAAGAAAATAATTTTACTGTAATCACCATGCAAATATACTGTAAATGTAGCTGAAATACCAATAACCTACTGCAAAATGTTCACTACTGTTTAGCTGATATGAGGAGCAGGAAGGGCAGTGAGAAAGATGGAAAGGGAGGACTAAGATATGAAAGAAGGCAGAGGAAGGGAAAGAAGAGAGGAATGAAAGCAAGGTGAGAAGAGAAGTGATGAAAACAGAAGCTTTCATTTCACTTAATTTTACTAAAGTGTGCTCTGTACTGTCTGTGCTTGTTTAATTATATTGTGCAATTGTTCTTATTTGCTTTTTAATAGAGATGCTATATGTGAGGAGATAGTTAAAGCACATGTCCAAGAGTAAAAGTACTGGTCACTTTCTGCATAGACAATACTGGGTAACTCAGATGGAGCACTGCAAGGTTTAGATGGACATTAAACAGTAGTCATGAGTACAAAGAAGGAACATCTGTGTTAATATTTAGCCCTTTAATCAAAGCTTGAAGATACAAGCATTTATATATAAAAACATGAGGCAAGAAGTTAAATATGACTCCCAGGATGTATTTAAGCAATCCAAACAGCAAGCTTAAAAATTGCTTGCAAGGCTTATGGACATACTGCTGGAAAACGGAGCATAAAATCTGCATCTTCAATGATTTCCCTTCCAAATTCTGGGACAATTTGAGTTTTTCAGATTAATGATTTCTTATCAATAAGAACGGTGGCCAAGACACGTGGATTTTGTAGAATTAAGAGCTACGGGACAAACATGGAAAAAAATAAACGTTACTTCTCACAAACAAAGCTGAAATAATTCCAACTGCAAACAATAACATATAGCACTGTTACACTGTGCCACAGACTCCTGTGCTTCCTCCTTAAGAATTTGGATTAACTCAGATTTGGGTCCAAATTCATACCTGATCCAGAGACAAACACCTGCCAACCACCCCAGGCTGAGGATGATGATGACAGTGTGCTTCATGTGTTGGCTGCACACTGTACAGAGACGCATATGTCAAAGGCAACATTCCAAAAGCTTCAGACAAAGACTATCTGTCCATTGTGCATTCCAACCATAATATTCCTGACAAATTAACACGAGATTCTGGCTGTACTGGTATGATGCATCCCAATAAATCATTACACATTGTTGTCATATTCACATTCTGTTAGCAGCATGTACAAAAGGAGCAAACACGGTGCAGTCAGGACATGTTGAATCATGGCTCGGAGTGCTGAACATCCTAAAGCTCCTAATCTCCAAAACTGCTTAGCCAGAAACTTTTGATATTTTTCCAGCTGGATCACTTGTTTCCAAAAACCTCTCCAATAAGTTCCATTATCTGTGTGCTGGCATATTGTGCTAGCTGGCATGCAGGTATTGTATACTGTATACTGTTTCTGCAACACTGACATTAGCTATTAGCAATATTCATCATTGGATAACTAATATTTTTAAATGTTCTGCACATGAAATGACATCTGACACAAAGAATTTTGTTCAAGCCAGGGCTTGCAAGGAGATCTCCACTGAATATGAAAAGCATGACTAACATAACAAACACAAAATTGTCAAATGTTTTGTGTTGACCACACAAAAGGTAGTAAAATAAAGCTGTTGTTGTTAAGACAAATGACTTTAAACTTAAAGTTCCTGGGCATGACTATCCTCTGCAACATGAAGCCAAACCCTCCCTTCAATCTGGGCATTGTTTTTATAAATGAAACACATTCTTGCCCTGCTCATGTCAATGTCACAGAAAATGTACAAAGAGTACAAAATCAAACATTAACCTTGAGATGGAGCCAATATATTTGATATATTAACATGTTGAAGAAAGTCCGGCATGCCTGCATGTCCAGCAGCACCTGAAGTAAAGCATCTGACTCATCACAAATGCTTTAGAAACAATACATGAACAACACAGCAGACAATGAATCAATTAGGCATTAGCTACCAGTGCCAGTGAGTCACTTGTGTAAAATGAGCGGACTGTTTGCCAGAAAGATCAGTGAGGTAAGAGGGATCAGATCATGGCCTGAAAGTGGGCAGGAAACATTTTACCCCTGTTTCTCTTTGCAGTGCTTCATCTCTCACCTCATCTGGGTTAAAGGAAAACTGCCATGTGCACTTCTATGGCACCATGCTAATCTCAGTTGTTTAAACTAGCAACATCTCACTTAAAGTAGTGATTCCACCTAATCTGGCCTTCTGGCCGCTTAGATTGAAAAATCTAAGATATGCAGACAGTAATATATTTAGACAACACCTAGAGAGATTGGTTTATGGCAATAGTTATTTCATGTATTTACTGCACATTCAGTGATTATCTCTGTATACAGTAATGTCATACAAGTAGTGTTTGTCACTCTTACACTGGATTTAGATTATCTACTGAAACAGAAGGATTCACAGGAAAAGACTCTCTAGCACTGTAGCACTTCAGTAAATCTAAACAGGTAGCTGCCCAAACAATATTTGCTGTAGTTTTAAACAAGTGTCACCAAGCCAAAATGACTAAAATCTTTAAGATCACAGCTTTAAACCTTCCAACCCCAAGTTAAATGATCATATCGCTGGCCATGCACCCGTAAGTGATAAGAAAACAGACTCTAAATCATATTGTCATGGTTTGGGACTATGCTTCCTGATTTGTGTTCTGTTTTCCCCGTCTCTCCATTCTGCCACATTCAAGATTCAAGATTCAAAGTGTTTATTGGCATATGCACAGTATGGAAACGCATTTCCCTGCACAATGAAATTCTTACTTTGCTGTCCACCCTGAGTGCCAAACAACACGTCAAACAAGATCACCGTAATTAGCCATTATTCCACTCACCTGCCGCTCATTACCTCCCGGTCCTGTCACATACTGTATATATAAACAACATTTCTGTTCTTCGCTGGATCATTCTCGCTTCCTTGTCCTCGTGTCCCCACGCTCTGAGTTTTCACTCCTCAATGTTTCTCGTCCCCTCGTTGTCCCTCTCTGTTTCTTCACTCACGTTTACGTGTCCTGAGTTTCGTTCCTACTACCTTCGTTTCTACCAGGCTTGTTCTCCGAGTTTGCTCCACGGTTGTTTCTACATCTCTCGGTTGCTCTGCCCCTTTTTGTTTGCCTCATGCATTTAGGCATTTTGTGTTCTTTCCTCGTCTTTGGTTTTCCGTGTTTTCTGTCAGCTATGCAGTGTACTTACCTGACTGCTAGCTACACTGTGTACTTATCTGACTGTCAGCTATACTGTGCATTTACCTGACTGCCAGTTACTCCTTACCTACCCACCCTGGTCCTTTGTTTCCTGCCTGCTCTCCGCACGCTCTGGTCCTCCTGTTACCTGCCATCACCAGTCACCTACCTGCACGTCCCAATCCTATGGTCCTCCTGTTACCTGCCATCTTCCTGCCTACCCTAGTCCTCTGCCCCTCCTGGCCTCTGCTGCTTCCCCGGTCCCCTTGGTTCCTCGCCCAACCTAGCCTCCATTACCTGCTGCACTTCCTACCAGCCCCCGTGCCTACTCAACTTTTTGCCACACAGCATAGTTTGTAATTTATGTAAAAAACTTTTTGCTATAGTTACTCCTGCTCTGATTCCTGAGTCTGCATCTGGGGTCCAATCACGCGCAACCTTACACATAGACTGTATATAAAGATGGACAGTCAAGTATACAAAAGTGAAGCCAAAATATTGTGACTACAAGGCCAGATATCTTTGTGACACACTTTGAAAGATTCTGCGCAGCTGCAACCAGACATGGATACACAGTGTCAGGCTGCCAATCAAACCTCTCAAATCATCTGAAATAAACCCTCTTTTAATATCATAAAATAACTTATTTAAACAAAACTTAGCAGAATTCTGGTTAAGATGTGTTTAGCCAAGCATAAACTGGAGGGAACTTCTAATGTTCCTTCCTCAACATCAGAACAATACACGTAACAGCTTCAAAGCGTTCTCATTTACACGTTTTAGCTTTAGCTAACAGGTTTGACAGCAAACCTGTCCTATAAAGACATTACTTGTACCACTGCTGTCAATATCATTTGGTCAAGAAACACATCCTGTTGCTACTGTAACTGCCATCACTGCTGATGTATGATGTCACAGTGTCAGTATACTCAGCCAGATCTGTAGCTGCAGCCTCAAAGACAGTCAGGCATGTGCAGTCAAAGCAGCCCTGTAGCTTTGGTTTTGCCTCTTCAGTCCATCTTCTCACTGTTTTGACCACAGGCTTTGCTGGAAAAACCAGCAAGAATAAGCTCGATTCTGAAAGTACCTAACCGAAGAAATCCCACCCTTTCATTCTGACTTCCCTCCAAAGTCACTCCTCCAGAACCCAACACACACTGGCTGACTACTCTTTTTTTGCAGCGTCCAACTTCTTTTTAATTGCAACTTTATTGAATACGATGTTACTTGGCTTGTGTATTGAGTGCACGGGCAGAGTAGGAAGTTAGGTTCACAGGCAAGTAGGCCGCCCAATGGTTTTGCTTGGGATGAGTAAAATGATTGATCAGGTGTTTTTCAGCCCCACTGCTGCCACAGGCGATGGATCTTTAAGTTGTCAATGCATTTAATGTATTCATTGCCATCAGGATGAAAAGAGAATTTCAAGATATGCAACACAAAATGCTTCTGAAAAGAACTGCCAGCCCTACCTTGAACTGCTGAACAGAAGCTAAAGCTTCATGCTCCTCCTCTCATTCCACTTTAAACCAACCTTCTTGTATTGCCCTCAATTATTATTTTCTCTTTGCAACTCATTTTGGAACTCAGTCTACTTCCCTCTCGCTTTCTCCCTCTTTTTCTGTCTTTGTCTGACCAGATCTGTTTTTGTCAAAGCATGAAGACATCAGAAACCTATTGAAAATGTTGTGATAAATAAGTGCATACAATTTACAGCTTTTGTTGTGAAAACAAAAAAGCACACAAGTTTGTTTTGTGATATTTATGGTCACAAGCTTCCTTCATACAGTATCTTGACTTAGCACTTACAGTATCCATTCATCTCTGTGCTCAACTATTGAAGAAGAAGCAGCAGCTTTATTTTATTGTGACAGGTACAATGAAATTTTGTTTGGAGCCGAGGTGCCGCCATCATGGGTAACTTGGGGGGTTTAGTGTCTTGCTCAAGGACACTTCGGCATGTGGACTACAGGCACAAAGATTCAAACCTTCAACCTTCTAGTTGGGAGATGACTGCGCTACCCACTGCACCACTGTCGCCAGTTAACTCTAAGGTCTCTAACTGCATACAACTCTGTGTGAGTGTTAAGGCTGTGAGGAAAGCCTTGCGCTGTGCATTTTTAACCAATACAATGCCAACTCATTCCATACTAGGCACCAGTCTGCCCTTAGGCGCTCCAGTAGTGCTGTCAAACCATCTTAGCAAAGCGACGGTGTCGAGCAGTTGTTTCCCAACCAGAAGGTTGAAGGTTCGCCTCTCGGTGCCTGCAGTCCAAATGTCAAAGTAGGCAAGACACTGAACCCCCCAAGTAGCGTGTATGCATGCATGCAGCGGAGAGGAGATTATATTTTTTACCAGCATTTGTTAGTTTGTTCACAGCATAACTCAAAAAGTTATGAATGGAAGTGGATGATTTTTTTTTCTTTTTGCTGAAACTCAGCTGATTCAGTAAGTGTCAACAGATTTGACACTTCTTCAAAGTTACTGAGCGAGATAAAACTCCCATTACTGAATTGTTTTTGGAACCACCAGGATTCCTCCTAGAGTTGAAAAGAAGGGCCTTGGTCATGGAGGAGACCAAAGGTTCCAGAAGTACGACCATCTCAGCAACACTCCTTCAGTCGGGCCTTTATGGTAAAATGGCTACATGGAAGTCAATCTGAGTAAAAGACTGGGTTGAGACTAGGGCAACCTTTCAACTTAAAGCAAAAATACAGCTGGCTGAATACTTCCTTCTGTATCTTCATTTTTTTTTCTTCAGATAAATGAATGTCATTTGTTTTGATTCATGTCAATACCTGTCTTATATGTAGAAGTTTGTTTCCCTATCAGTTTAAATCAATATAATCAGTAACTATCTGCCCTGCAATATTTGACAGCTAGCAAATAAACATGAGCCAGAAGCACCATGAGCAGGAAGTCTGTTGGCAGACATTCATAAAGTGTCTACTACATTACACTACAAAGATAAGGAGCTTAACACGAGCCAACACACCTGACATTACAGAAGTGTATATTTGTGTCTGAACCTGACCGAGAGTGCAGTGGCCAAACCCAACTGAATTTAACTAGAAGCATCATAGCCACTCATCATTTTAATTTTTAACAGCACTTTAAAGTCTAAAGAAGAAGCATGAATTCATGTAGTACAACCCAAACCCAACAGGAGCTGTCAGTACCCAAGGGTTCCGAGAGAACGTTAGAAATCATGTCAAGCCTATATTGCATATAGTAAATTACTGATTTATACTTAGGATGTATGCTGTGCTCACACATGCTGTATGTCTTTCCTGTTTTTTATATCTCAGTAACTCATTAAAGACGTTGTAGAATGTGGAATGGGGTCATAAACAGCTCTGTGCTTCAGGTTCTGCTGGAAAGAAGATGGATGTGATAGCTGCTCACCTGGCTGTCATTCACACTGCACCAGAGTCTGGGTTTGTGTCAAATACTGACCATATCAGCTACTGGTTACTGAGGGGATGACTGCCTTCTGCTGACATGTCTGCTTTTCTTAGAGAGAGGTGGGACAAAATGAATTCGTGAAATGACAAAACAACCGTCCACAAGTTCCATTTGGTACCTGTTCTGGTACATGATATCACATGATCTTAGTCACATGATAGAAATGAAGATGTTCAAAATTCCAGTTTTACTTTGCACTTTAAGGTTGGTTAAAAACTGATCTTTAAGTTCAAGTGGCATGATCAAAAGCAGTGATTAAGAAGAATTATTAAGGACATTTTCCTTTATGTTGGTGCACAGGACTACCCACTGGCTTCTGGCTTCTCTTGGTTTAACAGATAGGGCAATGTAACTTATGAAAACTATTTGAACCCCGAGCACAAGATCGTGTCACTTCAGTGTATGATCTGAGAAGCAATAAGGCTGTTGTTAGGCTGTCTAAACTTGAAGTCAGCACCTCCAGACTCCATATCACACATGATAAGGTAGGAGCCAAACACGTTAGCATGGAGACTAGAAAACAATAAACATCCATCCATCCATTGTTTATATCACTCATCCTGATTAGGGTCATGGGGAGGCTGGAGCCAGTCCCAGCTCACACTGGATGAGAGGTGGGATCCACCCTGGACAGATCCCTGTCAGGTTTGCCCAGCTCGTGTAGACAAACAACCACTCACATGGGTGATTTAGAGTCACTAGTCAACCTAAGCTGCATGTCTTTGGACTGTGGGAAAGGTCTGGGGTTGAACCTGGAACCTGGACACCACTAACCACTGCCCCGCTGTGCCGCCCAACTAGTAACTCAAGTTATAAAATAAATGTAGTGAAGTAAAAAGTACATTTGCACCTAAAATGTAGTGAAGTATGAAGTAACACAAAATGAAAACACTCAAAGTACGAATACCTCAGAATTGTTCTTAAGTAACTGTACTTAGTTACTTTCCGCCGCTGGTGGCAGTAACACTGCAGAGTGAAGTCACACACAGAGCAGATGCAGCTCTGGGAAGAGGGCCAGCAGACAACACAGTTACACCAGGGACAAAGACAAAAGCGTCTCCTACATATTTGCTGCTGGCACGTCACCGCTGCGTAATTCAAAATCCAAAGATCTTTTAATTAGCCCCAGAGAGAAACTGCTTTGCCTTGTTACAGCATGGAAAAGAAAGGAAAACGGGAATGAACCCTAGCAACACGCCAGTCTATCACAGGTTTGGCATGTAGACAAACAACCACACACACTCACACTCACTCTTATGGGCAATTTAGAGTCACCAGTCAACCTAAGCTGCATGTCTTTAGACTGTGGGAGGAAGCTGGAGTACCTGGAGAGAACCCACACAGGTACAGGGAGAACATGCAAACTCCACACAGAAAGGCACCGGGGCTTGAACCTGGAACCTTCTTGCTGTGAGGTGACAGTGCTAACTACTGCACCCAAACAATAAACAGAAAAGCGGAATTAAAGTTTTGACAATGAGAAGAAAATGAAGACAAGTGGGGGAATAAAGGGAAGGAGAGGAGCAAAAGAGAAATAGCAGATGGTGAGAGCGCAAAGTAGAGAGAGGTAAAGAAAAGCAGATGGTGGAGAAATATCCAGTCTCAGTGATATACGAGACCAAGAAAGAGGAAGAAGTAATAACGGATGACGAGTCACACTAAGTGTGTGTGTGTGTGTGTGTGTTGTGGGTAAATGTAAAACTGAGTAAAAGTGTGTGTGCCAATTATGAAAGTGTTTGCAGAGTGTGTGAATCAAAAGGATGTGTGTGTGTGTGTGCGTGTGTGTGTGGGTGGGTGGCTGTGTCTTTTCTCCTCTATATATGAAGTAAATCCCTTTTTGGTCTTATAAAGATGCTAATGTTCTAATATATTTCATCTTTCAAAGAATCCTTCTTTCTTGCCTCCTTTCTTCTTTCCTATCTTTGTGCTTGTGCTCCCTGTGTCCTTCATTGCCTCTTCTCACTCCTCCTTCTCCATCCTTCCATCTATCACCCATCTTCTATTTCCTGTTTCTGTAGATCTAGCTATTTGTGCATGTATGTGTGCACACGTGTGTGTGTGTGTGTATGTGTGTATGTGTGTATGAGCGTACCACACAAGTATACACCCTTACAGCCAATATGCATTCTCAATTAGACTCATATAACATGCTGGCACTCTTGCCTGGGCATCTGCCTTGGCGTTGATACTCACATTCTTTTAAACTACAGCTGGCCTGGAGAAATGTGTGTGGGGAGTGGCTCTGTGTGTTAGTGTGGTGAATGTGTGTGTTAATGAGAAGGCAGTTTTTTTGTTTAGTTTAGTTTTTGGTTTTTTATATATTTGACTTTAAATCCTTTATTTCCTTACACACAGACAAAAACTGTGTGTGTGTGTGTGTGTGTGTGTGTGTGTGTGTGTGTGTGTGTAAACAGTGGGACTTACAGTGGCAGTCATGTTGTTGCTTTCCTCCATGATAACAGCAGAGTATTTATTGGAAGGCATCGCTGTCACAGTCGACTGGTCTAATGGCTGTCCTGACTCCTTTTCAAACCTGGATAAGACACAAGCCAGGAAGATAAAATGAAATAAAATTTAAAAACTCTTTAAGTCTTTGTCACTGTTGCAATGATGAAAAGTAGGTTTACATTTTTCTCTCTTGCTCTTTTCTTGTCACCTTTCTAGAAATAAATCTAACCAAATTTAACAACATATTAAGGAGGATTTGTCTGGCTATGAGATTATTAGCAATGTCTTAACAGATCAAAGGAGAAATAAATGGGATCAACTGCCAGTGGATAACTGCATTTAGTTATTTTAACTGTCAGTTATTTTTCCAGAAAACACATCACCTACTGCTTTTAGCAAGTGCAATAGTGGCTACTTATTAGGCACAACATATGGCTTAAATATAAAATTGATTAAATTGAGATGATACTCCTGAATGTTTTCATTTAAAGAAAACAGAAATTAAAATTCTTTATGCAGAAACACAACATGCAACAGATGCTAGTTGACCACAGCTTAATCCAGAAGAAAAGCAGGACTTTGGCTCTAGAACCACAGAGCAAACCTACCGACACTGGACAATTCTTAAAACCACGACATTTTCATTGATGACAATTTTCAGATTCAATAGTAGTATGTTTAAAATGTTTTGTCTTTCTACAGTTTGTCAAAT